CAAAAGTAATTATCATCTTTGGCTAATTTTAATCCGTCTGAAAATTTCACATATTGTTACTAGGAATCTGTTGGATCTACATCCCATTTCACTGGTTATGCTTTAAAGCAAGATCTCCCCTGCAATTGCTATTTCCACTTGCTTTTGGTACTCTGTCCTGGAACCAAGAACAGAACTCCTGTCTTCTGGAATGCTTGGTATCCTGTTAGATAGGTCATCACTGGTGAGGAAGCAGTCTTAATGAACCCCCAGGAGACAAAAGCTGATTTGGAGCAGGTGAGGAAGTGGGAGGCAGCGGAGAGTCTATGAACTAGCAAGAAGATAAAGAAAAGACAGGCTAGTGGGCAAGAACTGTGTGATAGAGGGGAGGCTGGAGAAATAGGGTAGGAAAGCATAGCTTAGGAACTAAGAGGTGCAGTGAGATCTATGCTCACAGTATCACTCAACTAACCCTGCAGATAATGGGAAAAGTCCCACATTCCCTTTGCTCAAACACTCTTCTTTTTGCTAGCAAATTATCGGTGACATGAACAGCCAAAATGTGCATCATGCCTCTGCGGTGCTGGTTATCAAAGCGTAGGACAGAACAGTTACAGAGATCAGTTAGTTCAGGTGAGTGATCTCAGTTGCAAATCTGAAGCCCCTGTTTTGCCAGTGACCATTATGGGCACGAATGTGATAGTATATAATTCTGATATTGGCTGGCAAGTGAATAGTAGAAGCAAAACTGTATGGTGTCGTGCTCTGAACAGTCTTATTTTACTATTTAGGAACATTTCTATATTACATATTAAGCTATGCTTTTTAAAGTGGATTTCAATAATTAAACATGGGCATCATAGCCTGACAGGAGCCTTATGAAATTCAACAAGGACAAATGTAAAGTCCTGTACTAGGGAAGGAATAAACCCTGGCAATGATACAGGCTGGGAACTGACAAGCCTGCTGAAGATGACCTGAGACAGGCAATGGAACAGGCTGCCCAGAGAGGTTGGGCCACCTCTGTCCTTGGAGGTTTTCAAGACTTGACCAGATGAAGCCCTGGGCAACCTGGTCTGACCTTGCTTTTGGCCCTGCTTTGAGCAGGAGGTTGGACTAGAGACCTCCTGAGGTCCCTTCCAACATGAACTTTCCTTAATCCTATGATAATGTAGTTAAAATTTATTCAGCCAGTTCCTACATAAGAAGGTGGGAATGGTATTCTTGCTAACTGCTGGTGAAATAGCATACTTATTCACCTGGCGGTAAAATGAGATTAGTGTTGAAAATAAGACTTCATTAACAAAATGCCACTTGCCTGTATTATTGTGAAGGTAACCTTTCAAAAATGAACTGACTATGAAGTAATGCAGTCATTTCATCAGGAATCTGCAAATAATCTGAAATAATAATGTGTAAGAGTATGAAATGTTTCTATTAATCTCTATGGGATATTAGCTGTAAAGCCCAATGATGGCAACGATTTGTATATAAGCATTGTTAATAATGTAGTATTACTTAAAGTTCACAAAAAGGAAAGTCAGATGTACTATTAAAATATACTCAATCTAATGAATGACGATTCTCTACCCTAATTAATATAATGGCTTTTACTCTATCAGGCACTCAGTAATATGTTACACTTAAAAGTATACATTGTAAAATAATATATGAACCGTAAAATTATGAACTACCCTGGCTGAGGGTATACTACCATGTTGGTGGATTTATGGTTATTTTAGCCTTGCACTCCAGGGACTACTAGTCTAATAAAGACTCATCCTTTAAGTTTATACAGTTGTGGTACTTATTTGGGAGTTCAAAGAACTTGTCAGCAGTCCCTTCTCATCTCTGATGCCATTCTATAAATTAGCCACTGTATATTTCCTTCAGTACCTTCAGACTCTTTCATTTTCTAGCAAAAAAGGTCATTTCATATAAAATCAAGTGCACCAAGACCTGCTAATGTAAGGACATCCTGAACTCATAAGTCTACTAAATCTCTTTTCACAATGTTTATAGGAACATTGGATGTCATTTGGTTTCAAGGGCTGTCTATTGCTGACCAGATGTACTCCTTTGTTATTACTTATCTCGTGACTGAATTTTTATGGTCCCTTCATAGAGGTCCTCAAAAAGTAAAAATCCATCCTTAAGTAAAAAATCCCAAATCCTCTCTGTTTGTGCTTAAACCTAGAATAACATTTGCAGAGTGATAGCTTTGAAAATCAGCATCTCAGTGCCAGTTGTACAAAAGCAGCACCACCATCTATCCTCTTATGATGACTCTGTATGTAATTGGCATCAGACTATATTCCAAAAAAAAAGGTCTACTTGATTCTCTAGTTCCTTCAGGAACCTGCAACCATATTTTCCAATAAATATGCATGGTAAAGACAAATACTTTTTGTTTACAAACAACAAATCCAAACCACAAAATATGCTTCAGTGCTAACAGTAGCATTCCAAAATTTAATCTGCTCAAGTAAAGCAAGAACCCTTACAGGCTTTTGTAAAAACTTTTTCTCCAAAGGTTTTACAAACACACTGTCATGATCTGTTTGTGTGTATTGTGGAATAAAGCCCACAAAACCAGCTCATGTGAAAACTTGTGCTAAGAAGTATTGTTAAGATTGAAGTACCTTGTGTGACCCATTAGAAAATACATTTAAAAGAAGTAGCTTCTAGTTAAAGATGAGAGGAGAGAATACAAACCATTTTATCAATCTGAACATGAATTTACTTTCCGTTTCTTACTGGCTTTCTACTTGGTCTGAAATTCATCTCCATGCTTCAGCTTTCTAAATATTTTTTGCTGCCGCATTCCTGGGTTACAGGTGTGTGTTGCAGGGTGAAAGCAGCCGTCCCTTCTAGGAACGGCTTGGGAATACACAACCTGGAGGAAGCACGAGCATTTGTGAAATTTTGAAGACAGCAGAATGAAAGATGAGGTGCTAAATCTGAGACTGTGGCTGCTAAAATGAGCTGCTGAAGACCAGAGAGAAAGGACTAGTGCATTTCCTAATGGACTGCTGCAGAACCTCCAAGCTTCTTATTTCTAATAATAGAAAAGAAATGCAGGTGTGTCTCAACATGTGGATGTCATTTATTTATTTTGAGAAAAAAAGCATTAAAGTGACAGTTTTGAAAGCACTGCTTTTCTTCTAAAGGTGGTTATACTCTTTATTTGTCTGGTTTGCCTATTCCAGATCCTTTCAGCTGATAATGCTGTATTCTCAGCTCCCACATCCTCCGTCCTGGCCTCTGTGATATGCATTATTTCAAAGGAGCACAGCTGGGTACTGGACTATAATTTCTCATGCAGCTAGGATCAGATTCATCAGTTTATTTGAAGGTTAGGACCAAGACCTTAGAAGTGTATAGGGAGCTAATAGGCAGACTGATGTTCCTGCTGTGTCCACAGAGGCTTAAACCAGTGAGAAAAGGGTCAGGCCCATCCATATTATTTTCACCATTTGCATCAGATACTGTGGTTTGCAGTAGTTTCATTCAGAAATGACAACGGAACAGCTCCCTGCTGTGAGGTCCTCACAGCACAGAGAGCTGTAATGAGTTTGTAACAAGACTGAGACTAATCTCAGAGATGTACAGAGTGAAGGGTAAATCTTTCCACCACTCTCTACCACTTTAATATCTCATGATGCTTAAGGTATCCTCATGGTATAATGCAAGAAGAAGTCAGTAGGACAAAAGTGTCCTAAACGCATCTTGATAGGTTTTCCTTTCGCTGTGTATCAGAAACTTTTGTAATTAGTCAGCTGCTAGCTACGATTAATGGCTAGAAATATGGCTAATGGGCAATGTATGTTTCAAAATCAGTATCAGGAAAGACTATGTGATCTTGCAAGTGTTGGGCTGTGGAACTCTCTCCTTGCGAAATTAGAACCAAGTATTTTGCCTGTGTGTTTACTGGAGAGCTCCAAATAGCTGGAATGTAAATGAAGATGAGGGACACTGGAAAACAGGAGAATATTTACCTTGGAGTGTAGTTCTAAACTGAGATTTAATGGTTGTTTCCACTTCTGTATTTTATGATACCTACAGTACATTTATATTTTTATAGATATGTGTGTATGTACATGTAAGTGGTCCAGAAAGAAATGTTTTATTTTGGGTTTTTTGGAAGCATCAGTTTTTTCTGTGTTGAATCTTAACATAGGTAATCTATATCCAAATATTAAAGTAACCATGGCAAAATAAAAATAAAAAAATAAATCCAAAGATTACTTCTCTGCCTCATTTACAGCTCTTTTCAAAATGTGTGGTTATGAATAAACCATTTACTTTTGCAAGCGTATGCTCTGCAGGATTTCAGATACAAAAGAATTAAAAGGTCAGAGAATTACAATGCATTTACTGCATCCATGTATGACAGCAAAGCTCATTACTATTTGCGGTGTTCTGTCCTTCTTAATTAAAGCATCAAATCACATGTACAGTCTGAAGCAGCTTGACTATAAAAGGTTACATCCATCAGTTTATTCCTGATTCATTTATTAATTACCAGCCTTGACTCTTGATGGAGATCAGCACTCTTTTCTCAGGACAAAAGTGTATATTATGTTAGAAATAGCATACTGTAATTTTAAACAAAAATATATTGTAAATATTTAAAAAGAAGGCTTGTACTGAACTTGGCTTTGATGGAATTACAATCTCTTGTACCATGAAGTCTGACTTTTCACAGGCGACCACTGGTAAATTTCTAAATAGTTTTGGTACTGAACCCCCTTCCATCCATAAAAGGATAGAAAAAAAATCTGTGAACTGAAATTCTTCTTAAGTTTTGTAAGGATATTTCAAATATATAGCTTTCATCCTTGGTTTTCAGAGTATTTTTAAATAGGATTTCTGGTGGTTGTGGTATTTTCTCCTGAAAATATTTTGCTTACAAACCTGCTGTACTGTGTCAGCTGACGTGCTCCAAAGAGGAAGAACTTTTGATGGTAAATCTAAAACAGATCTCCTGTAGAAATGGCTAAGTCATATCTGGAGACACTATGGATGCAGTTAAAGAGAAGGTAAGAAGGCAGGGGCTTACCCTTCCTTCCCTATTTCAATTATGTACTTCGGCAATTTGGGAATTGCATATACCTGAAAGTCATCAAAAGCACTCCCAAATTGTGGCATTTAGAATCACAGAATCATTGAGGTTGGAAAAGACCTTTAAGATCACAAAGTCCAACCGTTAACCTAGCACTGCCAAGTTACCACTAAACCATGTCCCTCAGCACTTCTACACATCTTTTAAACACCCCCAGGAATGGTGACACAACCACTTCCCCGGGCAGCTGGTTCCAAAGCTTGACAACCCTTTCAGTGAATAATTTTTTCCTAATATCCAATCAAAAGCTCCCCTGATGCACCTGGAGGCAGTTTCCTCTTGCCCTATCGCTTGGGAGAAGAGACTGACACCCACCTCGCTACATCCCCCTTTTAATTTAAGAAAGGTTCATCTTTATTTCCGCTAACAGTAAATACCTTTTTCATCTAGTGGGAAGGGGCAGGCTGATCCTACTTTGCTGAGCTACTCTGTTTCAGCTTGTGAGCTCCTAGGCTGGGTTGCTGTCCCTCTCTCCCCATGAGAGGATGGCCACACCAGCACTGGCCTCCCCATGCCGGGTGACACCCTGCCGCCGCCTTGGCCTTGTGCTGGCCATGCTCCCCTTCACGGCGAGGCCGAGGCACCCGGACGTAGGGGCGCATCTCACCAGATTTACCTGATCCTAAGAGAAGAAAATAACTAACAACCACACACATACACACAACCTACTTCAAGCTTAGGCACATAATTATCTCTTCAGGATTTGGCCTAAACTGATCCCAGCCCACGCTCGTTCCTCTACACGCTGTCGCGATATGACTTCAGTCAGAAACAGGAGGCCGTGACGGCAGACGCCTGCCCGATCGGCGGCACTTCGCCGCCA